AATAGTCGAGACGCCGACCAATGCAATTGTAAACAATCCAACCCACTTACAACTGACGGTTAACCCTAGTCCAAGACCAGTCATCGCCATCCAGAACCACCACCAGAATCTAAATGGACGTCTCTGTTCACTGTGGAAACACGACCATGCTAATACGGTGAGAGCGGTGCAAGCAAGTAGTGGAGAATCCAGAAGGATATGACGAGATTGAGTGATTAAACCATTCTCCAAGATCAGCAGAATAGACACAAGAACAGAGGCTGTTGTCGAGACGTGTGATTGGCGGAGAGTTAGGTAAGCTATTGGAATCACAAGAATGCCGAGTGTTGCAGGCATCAGACGCATTGGTACGTATGGCACGCGTGATTCAATGTAATCCCTGGTTTCGAAGATAATTTTTGATATAACAATTGACGCATTGTGGGTTTTGTCGATTTAGGTGTGAGTGGTATTATTATTGGTGTCGTAATTGGGATTGTTGTAAAGTCGCATTAAAAGATATTAATAATAGCTGCTACATTGACTACAAAGGAATGAAATCCTGACTCACTTGCCGATTTCTTTAAAATCAAAGTTTCCGTCAAAACCACCCATTATTCCTGCAAGCGTTATTAACAGTTTTGCTAACGGTGGATGGACATCCAGGAAGAATCTTCCTTTCATGTATTTACTGTAGAATTATTATGTTTACAATAAAGCGATCAGCAGGTTATGAAGACTATGAATGTTTCCATTGACCACGATCCGGTATAATACTGTTACTAGCATACCTTGCAAAGCCTCCAAAGTGTACTTCGTCAAACCTAAAATACAAAGAAAAAAACGCCCTAATCAATACCATGACCGACGGAACTAGTTATCTCACCACCTGTCTCCCCTCATTCACTCGTTTCCATCCCTCCTAGTTCTCCCCTAGTTCTCTCCCCAACTCACACAACAGAACTCGGTTGATATATTCTATACAGCCGTATAAATACAGCAAGCAACAGCAGTCCAGTCATGAGCTGTAGATCTCTCATGCGTAGCCCAAGTATTGAGCGTGAATATCCCCTCATATCGGAATGACCCTCGAATATAATAGGCGGCCTACTACTACGTGATCTGACCCTGGGATATGTTGGTATAGAAGAAGTTGATATTTGATCTGGAAAGAGGAATAATGGCCAACAAAAAGTTATAATGTGAATTTTAGTATTTATTGAGAGAATGACGTTGGGAAGAAATTGGTTGACAAAAAAAGCAAGTGCAAACAGAGACTTGCTGGCTGTGCATATAAATAGAAATGCTCACCTATATGTATCGGCGACTCGTAATATTCTTGCTTACTTTGATATAGCGTCATTTTTTTTGATTTTACAGAGAAGAAAATTCAATTAATTATATTATTTTTATTACTGGTATATTAATATTGACATTGGCTCGGAGAATTTTCTTGCAACACATTACGACCAATAAGACATTCCTATTGCTATGATCCCCGGATAAACGATTTTCTGTTTAATTAATTAACATTAATAGATCGCGTGCACGGCTACAAAACTATATTGATCAGAAATGTTCGCTTTATTCCTACAAAAACGGAACCATTAACCCCCAATCTATTGCGTAAAGTCCTCAATTATGTAAATGTGCGCTATCAAGAATATGCATGCAAAATGACTATTATTATTATCCTATAAATGGCAATCGTCGCACAGCTGGTTATCGTGTCCCATCCAGATTGGGCGATTATCATTTCTAGTCTCGTATTTTTGTTCCAATTTTTATTTCTGAAGATAAATTTTATAAAAATTTCCTACCTTATATAACTAGTCTCATTTCTATATTTCAAAATTCACTACTAGCTCTGATTTCATTATTGTTAATTTGTAACAAACTGTATTGAATATACCAAACCAATTGAAGCGGAAACAGAATCTAATTATATACGAAGACGGTGTTTTGGATTTCTCTTTGTTGGTATCCTGGTCTAGCAAAATGTGTACATGAATTACACAACCACCCTCCAATCGTATCATCGACCCCCCCAAAAAAAAAGATTACAAGAGGCAGTCATGTATCAACAGGAAGTATTGCTGCAATCAATTAGCTAAAATTAAAACACTTATTATCTCAATAGTCTCGGTGGCTTCACTATTTCAACTTATTTGCATCGATCCACAACAGCACCCAAGCATTTGGAGACATAAATGTTATATAGTTGTAGGAGGTCTAGCACAATTACCGCCTGTACGTGGCGAATATGTCTTAATTCATCTGTTTGGCATTTATTTTACCAAGCAAATACTTATCTATGAAGATTCGGCAATATTTCTGACGAAACATAGAATCATTTGCTACGAAAGGCAAATTCTTATAAACCTGAACGTTCGTTACTTTTTCTCATAACTACTACACATATCGTATACTATAAGCAGACGGCTGATCAACTAGACACTCGATTACATCAAACTGAAGACAAACTTACCTTCTTCATTACGTATAGCAAGGGTGATGTTCTTAAATAATGATCGAAAAGGGTATCTGCGATGTGATTGTTACCGATCCTGACAAAGAGACACTATCCGTTCAAGTAAGCATTTTGTGTCCAAAATAGAATAATACACTGCTGGGTATCTCGCTAGACATATTCTTCTATACAGCAGACAACCTCCTCTAAAATTTGAACAGGATCTGCCTAGTGATATAAATTGAAGCAATATGTTAATAAAATCGATAGCAGCAAAATTTTAAACGTTAAATTTAACTGATACAAACCATCTATTGCTTTGGAGCTGTATAGCCGCAAATTTAATCAAAAAGCCGTTAGTGAATGTTTTCTGTATCTTACGAAGTAGCATTTCCATTTCGACCCGAAACTTCCTCCAGACAACCAAGACCGCTACATCAGTCCATAAAGGACACGAATGCAGCTGTTTCCTAGCAACACACAGAGGCAGAAGACGCACTCTCCTAATGGAAGGCGAATCCCCTCAGGCTTTACATGCCCCGGAAACATTGGATCAGAGAACCAGAACCTTAGGCATCTTTCGAAAGCCGCTATACAGCCAATTCAGCGACGACACACAGAGGCAGAAGACGCACTCTCCTAATGGAAGGCGAATCCCCTCAGGCTTTACAAGCCTACTGAACGCCGAGTCCGTAAGGCATAGAATTCAATGTATACTTAACTTGACGGTTAATGGGTGGTGTATTTGGCAGTGCGTGTATTTGCGCGATTGACGTGTTTGTTACCACACGCCACAGTTTGTGACGTCACATGATCACTTTGTTGCAGCACGCCCATATGATAACGTCTGTTGTACGGAAAGTAATAATAATAAATGAAAAATAATCTTTGTATGAAGTCAATGAGCTATCTATCACTTATGAACAAACCTTCGTATAGACCTAAAAGCGAAAGGGCGTAGAAAAAGGAAATATTTCACTTTTTGAAAATGCTTTTATTTTAGGAGGTTTGATAAAGAAATTTATTAATGGAACTTCAATCGGTAGATCAGCAAACAGACTACAAGAAATAAAAACTTACCTGCAACAAAAAAACGACAAAAATCCCCTTGACAAGCAGGAGTTAGATAAAACAAAATAGAGATAAAAAGAAAAGTTGAATGTGGTGACAAAAACATCAAAAAATACTATGCTATTTTTGTCCTATTCCTACAATCGGGGGGTTTTTTTTTTTATATTTTTTCTACTGGATTAATTACTCCCGAACTATTTATTACTCATGTGAAAAAACTAACTATTTTGGTCTTTTTATCAATATATTTGCCTTGGGATGGTTGTTCGCTTCCTTCCTCGACCTCGTGGTGTTTTAACTAGCGGATGACATTTATTCCAATAATTAATCAAGGCGGCGAGCGCAATATGTAACGTAACAGAAAATAATAGGCAACCTCTTTGACAAATTGCCGGTGCAAATCTTCTTCACAATCCCCATAATCATCTGAATGTAGAATTTTTACCTGCTTGCTGCCCGTTGCCCTCCTACACACCTACACCAAATGATCCAGAACCAATATGTTTGAAATCTAATGTTATATCATTTTCTGGCAGCAATAGATTTAACCATCTTGAATGTTTGCATATTTAAGAAAAGAACGGCAGCCCTATCTAGAGCAAGATGTCACATGGCAATATTGTGTATAACTAAAACTACCTTATCGGCTTCATGCATCGGGACCATCAGACACGACTTGCATTTACGGAGGGTTTGCGTAAAATGCTTAATAATCTTATAAGTTCGGGACTGAGCCAGAGCTTGCATTTAGAGAGGTTTGACTACAATTCAGGTATATAGTCGATTTATCGCTAAATAATATTTAAATCAATATATTTGTTATTATTATTATGGTATTTTGGTGTTGACATTAAAGTCTATTAGATATCATGGTATGACAAGTTGTCCAGCTGAGTATTTTATTGAACCGATCAAATTTCTTTCATGATATACTCGTGCGGTTTATCACATTGATTGGAATAACAGTTATCCTTTAATTTGTATCATTTGGTTTGTTTTCTGTTGTACTTTATTGTAACCTTATAATATTAAAGACAGTTGGTAGCGTAGCGATCACGCAGTGGGCTATATAAATATGCATTAAAACTAGAATATTATTTTTGGGAGGTTACGCCCCCTCATTTATCGCTATAATCATTTTGCGGTTGCTGATAGAAAAGCTGATTGGTACCGCTCATATGTTCCTGTTGTATTGGTTGTTGTAAAGTAATACGTTGTAAGGCTGAGCATAACTGGTTTTCAGTTGTAGATTGCAGAGAATTGAAGAATGATTGATCGTGCTGTTGCAGTTGTTGCAGTTGTTGTTGTTGTTGTTGGTGTTGTTGTTGTTGGTGTTGTTGTTGCAGTTGTTGCAGTTGCAGTTGTTGTTGTTGTTGTTGCTGCTGCAGCTGCTGCTGCAGCTGGTGAAACTGTAATTGTCGATAATACGCTATTCTCATGTTAAAGCCAGTAAGTTTTACGTTGATTTTTGTAATATAATCTACCACGGAGGATGCCTACACAATAAATAAGCAGAGTTAGTAAAAGGTATAAAGGAGTGACTGGATTCATGAGGCTTGTAGAAGTATATAACAATACGCTCTATCTCCTATACATATCGTAATATAACATACGCTATTAAATGCCGCCGATTCGATTACGCGAGCGAGCTGAGTAATTTCATTTTCTGAAAACTTCCCCCTTAAAACGTTTGCAATCCTTTCAAGGTACGGACTTCGTCCGTTGTCTGTTAAAGGCCACTTGTTAGCACGTTGCTGTTGTTGCTGTTGTTGTTGCTGTTGTTGTTGCTGTTGTTGTTGCTGTTGTTGTTGTTGTCGTTGCTGTTGTTGTTGTTTAAGCATTACGTTGATTTTTGTAATATAATCTACCATGGAGGATGCCTACACAATAAATAAGCAGAGTTAGTAAAGGGTATAAAGGAGTGACTGGATTCATGAGGCTTGCAGAAGTATATAACAATACGCTCTATCTCCTATACATAACGTAATATAACATACGCCACTAAATGCCGCCGATTCGATTTCGCGAGCGAGCTGAGTAATTTCATTTTCTGAAACGTTTTGGTTAGCAGGGCTCCCCCTCCCTAAAACGGTTACAATCTTTTCAAGGAACGGACTTCGTCCGTTGTCTGTTAAAGGCCAGTGTTGTGGCTGTTGTTGCGTAGCCATATAGTCTTATTAAACATAATAGTTATTCTTTTCGACTATGTATTAGCCGCTGTCAGTGTTTCGTAACAATGATAATCATCATATTGACAATGAAGATTATACCAAAAATGGTCGGATGTTGATCGGATGGTGACGATCGGCATGGGTAGTACAAAAGTTAATTTTTCAACATGCACAACTTGTACAACCTGCTGTTAGAACTGGAAGCACAAAAGCGATTACTTAGTGAGAAAAATAACAAATCAATAATCGTAGCTCAGGATGATGTTGCTAAAAATGGGACAATTAGTAGCTCAGAAGTTATAAAAGCAGCATAGGAGTCAGCTAGTTTCGTGTCTTATAGTTCGAATAATATTATTATTTCTCGATTCCTTTATTTTTCTTATCAATAAACGAGTATCGCATTTACTCTGATCATAAACTAATTTACGTATATCCCTGAATTATTCGATATAGCAAATAGTTCAAACCACTACTCCCTATATCGGAAAAGGATAATCGATTCTTGAGTATAACGCGTTAATAATTAGGTGTATTTTTAAACGGACAGACTGTCGAAAGAATCCATCGGCAGATAGTCGTTACTAATTATCTCGAGAGCAATTAACTATCTAGGATTTAGTGTCGTAATCCGGCAAACGGAAGTGCCGTCAGCGTAAAAGCCTGAACGAAAGGTCACTAACGTCAGTCTGGTTAAACTTATAGTAGGAGGCGCTACGCCCGTTTAAATCCTTACGAGTCACGTGTCATTCCGCTCTCTTGTGACATTTGGCTCGATAGATGACTCCCGAACCTGTTTACAACCTTTGCCTCAGAAGAAAGAGATCCTTAGGTTTTCTACCATTGATGAGATCAAGGATGGAAAGTACTATCAACTGGCAAATCAAAATTTCCAATGATTAATGTCATTCTTGCTCCATTCCAAATGACAATTGCTATAAAACATCCTATTAAGATAGTTGGCTTGAAAAGGCTTTATGAAGATGGGAGATATTCAATTCTTTTTTGTTGTACCAGTCACCTCTACATTGATGATGATAGCATTGCCACAGATAGCATTTTGTCCCCAGTGTCAGTATGTAAAGAAAGTGTCGATTTTAATTTGGTGCAGTTGTATGATGGTTTTCAAAAGCAGAAATTTATTACAACCATGGATGATCTTTGGATCACAAAATGTCAATAGAAGCTCTGGATCTGGAAAACAACAGCATCATACCTCAAAGAAAAAATAAAATTCAAGATTAGATATGTTGAGTAAGTATAATAATAAGTAGGCTAAAATTAATTTAGAACAACACCATAATAGATAGAGAATCTATTATTATCAGTAATACAATATAAACTTGTGCCAATGTCACACAGTATTTATATAGTCACATGCCAGAAAATAAAAATTGAATTGTGACGTTGATTGTCAACATAAAAGTCAGATTTTTTAAATTTGCAATCTTTATTTACATGCTATAGTCAGATTTTTGTGCTGAACATTTTTGCTGGTTGTCTAGAGTTATTTGCTTGGTTGGTTACATGTGACATTATATTTTATTGGTCGAGGGTTACCTGTAACAGATTTCAATTTTGGTTTGTATGTTTTCAGAAGCAGAGCTTCCTTGCTCCACAACCAATATGCTAGCTAAAATTCGGGAAGAATCTAACATAAAATGCAATGATGTCATAGCACAGTTGTGTACCACTGATATATTGTTTGATTCAATTATTTAACTTACGAAATGTTCTCTCTTTAGAAACTTAAACCTCTTTCAGACCTTCTAAATTGCTATTACGAAAAAGTCATGAGTAAGGTGCGAATTATTATTGGCAAAAGAACAAAAGTGGAAAAACTCGCTGAACGAATGAGAGTTGGTAAGTAAACATTGATAAGCCAACCTGACATTTCGGTTGATTGATTAATGGCTTCTATATCTTTAGCGCCTTTGGATCTGCCAGTTTACCTACAAAACGAAAATGCCGCTAATTTGATTCTTAAAGCGATGAAGATAATGAATGTTGATGACCCTGCTATCTTTATTCAATGGAATAACAATGGATTTAACGACACTCCAATGGCAAATTGTCGTAACGGTGTCACCGGCCAGACACAACCTGCTGTTGTCAACTATATTGTAGAAAGTGGTGGCATAGATTTTAACAGTCTAAACACCTTATTTCTGTTTAGAAGTGGCTTAGCAATCAGTCACTGTCAACAAGCTTTTCCTCCATGGTATGAAGAATTTTCATTCTTTTATTTGTTTATTTATTTATTAACCATGTTCTTCCTGCTTTTTCTAAAGGACTCATCATCAAGCAGGGATTCCGGATGTCTGTCTTTCTATCTGCAGGATAAATAAGTTATCGGCTTGTGGACAAATCGAGTATGAGTTTTCGACTATCCCCTCATGTTATAATTACAGTAGATGCATTGATGTTTTTATGATCATACTATGCTAAATTTGGTTGATAAAAGGTATGGTTCATTTTCTTTGACAAGGTATTGACATAGACTATGTTCAAATTTGTTCAGCTTTCTTTTGCTTGTTCAGTGAAATAATAAAGTCAAAAAAAATCTCTTAAGGAATCGGCTTATCGTGATGAATTCTTTTTTTTGAATTGTTGATTATAGTAATATATTTCCCGATTCTTCTTAACACTCATGTCATCTATACATATATATGTAACATCTCAGCCAGGCGTGTTTTCGAAATTAGGCAGAAATGTGTCGTTTTGAATTAAAAGTACTCATATATGTGTAACATTTCATCCAGGCATGTAGGTGGAAATGTGTCATTTGGAATTAAAAAGTATACATGCCATAATGTCGTATGTAAATCCTGTCACTATGTCAAGGTCCCCAAAATGAATAAATGAAATAAATAGATGAAAATCATCGATTAATAAATAATAAAGAATACTAGATATGACAGATTTATTTATGAGCTATAAATACAATTTAATAATTAAGACAGTTAACACTATTACTATCTTTATGACATTGTGCTGTACAACTCTGCTACAACTACATCGGCCATCAGTATACTTTTTTATTCCTGAACCAGAAATAACAGTTGACAGAAGCAAAGATCTTGAACCTTTGACCGGCAGTGTATCTTGTCCATGGCAAATTCTCTCTTACTTGCTTAACGGCAATTCACTCTATATGGTAAATTTCTCCCACGTGCTACTTCCGATCGACAGTGCAGATTGTCCCAAGCACCAGATTCCGTTTCATTTCATCTGTATTTGCCACTTTGGTCATACTTACAGTTTACAGTTAGAGAAATTAGAGAAACTATCAAAATTCGCAACGTACATTATATACAAGCCTCCGACTACAGCTGAATTGATCACACTGTCGGATCGCCACACGTGGGAGAGCGTTCGTGTAACGACCTTGGGATTTAGTCGTCTTCCAGCGGAACTCTTAGGCTCGTTCCTACTATCGCTAAACCGCTATCCAATTAGTGACTTAAATAAGATTTATCAATACTCACGGATTTACAATCCGACTATCTGTATACGCTTTCTCT